GGACAAACACCTGGCTGGGTTGATGTCTAGACCCTAGGGCTTTGGGTCTGGTCGGAGTTCAAGTCTGATGTGTTTCTGTATTTTCGATGTGGTGATTTTTTGATGCCGGGACCTGGTCCCACACCTGACTATGGGGACATAAGAAAAGACAGATTACATAAACAGTGATTGACAAAGCTAAACGAGTACGTGCTCAGTCCCTTCTTCGGCAAAATGCAACCTCAGCGCTTGCCTTCTGTTCTGAAGCCTTGCCTCCTTGTCAGGTGATAGTGGTCTTTACTAAGTGAAACAAGTAAGTGTGTGTCTCACTGGTAGTACAGGAGCGAAACACACACCAGCGCATGGTACTGTTCCATTCTCCTTTCCTCTCCATCTTATCCACCCCCAGCTTCATATTTATTTTCACTGCTTATGTAGTTCTCCTTGACACATGTCATTGCCTAGTGTTTTATCTACGCATCACTCACTTTACTCATCTCCCCTCCTTCTCTTCCGCACTCCTATGTAAACTCCTTGAGGGCTGAGCTCCCTGCTGGCTGTTTGCCCTTGCATGGGGCCCTAGAGTGGGCCTCACAGCAGTGGGGGTTCAGCGTCCTTGTGCTGAGTGGGGGGGGAGGGGCTGCTGGGATATTGTTTACAGCTGACTCCTGGACTGCCCAAGACCCTCATCCTTGTGCTGCCCTCACTTAAATCTGTGCCAAGGTCCCCCCATGAGAACTAGACAATGTATTGATGGAATTTGCAGCTGGCTCAGGGTTTGGAAGGATAACAAGAAGCTTACACAATAAAAATAATTTTTAAAAATTTCTAGACAGAAGGTTGAACACATCTAAGCATAAAAAAGCACATATAATAAAGACATTTTTAGAATTTCCTCATTTTAAAATCTGTTACGGGTTTTGCACTTAGGTCTATTAATCTTTTTTTAAATGTATTTAGTACAGGGTCTACAGGATCTCACTACATAGATCAGACCCGTAGTGATCCTCCTGTGTTCAGCCTCCCAAGTGCTGGGATTACAGGCGCGCCACCATGCCCAGTCTCAATCGCTGTCTCAGCCCACCCTGAGGACAGGCTGGCGTGGCTCCCGGGGGCTCGAACCCAGGCTGCTATGTCTGCCTAAGCAGATCTATTAATCTTAATAAATTATAACTTACTCAGAAGTTATTTTTGAACCGGGATCCTGTGGAGAAAAGCATTCCATTGAGGAATGGCGAAGAAAGTGAGTGCTCACAGTTTGTGTTTATGATTCTAAGGGCGTGTCTGTATATGTGGGTTTGTGGTGTGTTTTAAAAGAAAGACGCACATCGGTGGGTTTCCTCAAGTTCACAAGCACATTCACTCACTTGTGCATTAAAAACAAATGAGCTGGGGAGATAGCTCAGTAGAATAAGTGAATAGCAATTGATTTTAAGGCAGTTAGTGTAAATTTAGGAGATGATCAGAGAGAGACTGTACTTCAAATACATGAACAATGAGTTAATTAACTGATTATTTAATTAGTTTTGTGGTGCTAGGGATTGAACCCAGGGCCTTCACGCTTAACTGCAACTCAGCCCTTTTAAATTAAAAAAAAAAAAATTGTTAGGTTTTTTTTTTTTTGGCAGTGCAGTAAAGAGATAGGAAAGATGAAAGAAGCCTTTATTAACTCTAAAGACATGGAAAGGATTGAGGGCAGATGGGGAAAAGCCTCTGGCCTGAGACCAAGAAAGCTGAGACTTTGTGAACTTCTGTTAGGGGCTACAGTGTGATCAGCAGGTTCAGTGACACCTAAGGAGCTGGTGGGGTCTCCCTAGTGTGGGCAGGAAAGGTGAGGAAACTGTATCCAGGACTGGGTTGGGAGAGAAGGGGGAAGTGGTCATTGGGAAGATAAGCTGTTGTTTTACGGGCTTCAGACATGTTAGATTGCCACCATAATAATTCAGCAATTCACAATAGGGCCAGAACCTATCACTTTTATTCTGAGACATGGTCTCACTATGTCAGTAAGTTGCCCGTGCTGGACATGGAGACTGCTTCTAACCGATATCAGGGCAGGGTGAGCACGGGTTCTCTGGGTGACTCAGCTGAGAAGCCTCACAGGGATCGCTGACTGGTGTATTTAGACCTTGTAATGGGCAGTCTTGTACTCAGAGGACATTTCATAGTGCATGGCAGCTGTGTGGCACATTTGTTGGAGAACCAAAAACTAGTTTCATAAGCCTTGGGACGGGAAAGATTTGGCTTGGTACCAGTTCTGTGAAAAAGCCCTGGTAGTTTGAATTGCTTGCAAGCTTGATATGTTGTTAATAATGTTAGTCTTTATCCATAGAATACAAATATTTCATCTTGTTGCAGACAGCTGTTTGAACTACACTTGGAGTACTGTACTATCAAGGGTACTGAAAACTAGAGTAGATCACTAAGAGGGTAGTCGAGAAGAATCCAGAAATCATGATGTAAGAAATGGTTGGAAGACTTGGAGGTGTCTGGTCTCCAATTTAACCCAAAGAGAGAAAACTAAGGCGAGAGATGCTGTCGTTGTCTCCAGATGTTCAGAGGCTTTATTGATGTGAGGCCTGCTGAAACATCTGAAGTTTACATCTGTTGGATAAATAGATGAATGAATAAAACTGTGTGTGCGTGTGTGCATGTGTGTGTGTGTGTATGTGTGTGTGTAAATCAGAGGGGCAGAAGTAGATGCAAAATGCCAGAGAAAGGTTTTGTAACATCAGTGCTGTCTGAGGAGGAACAGCACACTCTACTGCATTCGGAAGGACTCAGGCCAAAGGAGCACCTATTAAAGATTCCTAAAAAGAATACCTATGTGTATCGCCAGCCCAGATTCTTGAGAAGTAGGGTAAGATGGCAAGATGAAGGCTTTTGAGTCAGACAGCCCTCAGAGTAAATTACATCTTTGCCATTCAGTTGTGTGAAGCGGGGCAAGATACCTGCCCTCGCTAAGTACTCATTTGCCGTCCTTTAAGTGAGGATAAATACACCGATGGTAAAATGTTGTGAGAATTAACTGAGCCGACGACCAAGAAGTCCCAGAATCCAAGTGGGCTCTGCGCAGATCTTGCCAGCTTCCTTTGGAGTCGCTGGCCTCCAAAGCCGCAGAAATCATTCTGCAGCAGCACTGAGGAAGTTCACAAAATTTACTTCCTCGCCTTGTTTCTTCAGAGTGTGGTAGCAGCGGGCACGGGGCGGTCGCTCCCACTGCGCACACTCACTGACTTCACTGTCAGCCCTCTGGGCACTCTGGAAACTAGCTGCTGCTGTGGCACACGGTCACTGGAGGCAGTATGCGCGACAGCAAGAGAGCAGGTTGTGGTCTCAAATGGAGGTTCAATCCCCACATCTCCAGCTGGTCAAGTTAACACCCTATCTTCTTTTAGTCCCATCCCAAGTGACATCTGTCTCCTATAAGTGAGGGTTCCGGTAGCACAAGCAAAGACACTGGTAATTTTTTTCTCAGTGAGATCCTCTTAACAACCCAGGGAAGCAGGAAAAAGAGGAGGAAGAAAGGGAGGAGGAGAAGGAGAAGGAGGAGGAGGAAGAGGAGGAGAAACAAGACTCAAAAGGTTAGGATCCAAGAGGCCCTTCATCTTTCTCTTAAATTGTGCCTGAGTGTTTTGGAACATCTCCTGCGTGCCAGGTGCCATGTGAAGTCTTTTGCTTGTTATTTCACTAGCAGTTCAGGGCCACATGGAGGCCTCAGTTCCCCCACTCCCACCCCCACCCCCAAGTATCTTTGGAACTCTTAAAGGGTGGGGAAGGTCACTCTTCATGGGACCAGGACACCAGGTCATAGTTCTCCTTGACACCTGGCTTTGAAAGAAACATTCAGGGTACAAGTGTGGAGAAGAACAGATACCCCCAGGCCTTCTCAGCTCCTTGGGCCTGATCGGCACTGGAGGGAAGGCACTGTGCATCCTGACCAGCGACGCTGTCTGTCATGATAGCTGGCCCAGAGCTCGTGGCTGACAGCTGTCAGTCAGGTCTTCTCTCAGCCCCGTAGACTGGGTCTGTTGGTGGCATGTACTATGTTTTCAAATGACTTCCTTTCAGATCTTGAAATCATAGATTTTCACATAGCAACAAATTGTTTAAGATATTTGGTTTCTCTTAAGGAATTGGACAGTTGGCAACGCTGAACTCATCAATCCACCAGCTCTGTGGACCAGCTGTTTCTCTAGGACTCCCAAAGAGTCCTTGCGGTCCTCTTTGTTCCCTTGTAATCATAACTGAGCAGTTTGCATTACCATTTGTAGCCCACACACAACTCATATTCATATTCATAGTAATGAAATCAGCTGGGGATGTCCCTGATTATTATTTTTTTAAATTTTATTGAGAAACAGCAATGAGACAGTTTCAAAGCTGATTAGTAGGACAGTTTCAATAATTAATACATTGCATGTTGTTGTCTTCTTAGTGGTTATCCACAGTACAAGATGCAGACATAATATCCTGTCCAAACACTATTAGTACAAATCTTTCTTCTCATTGAATTAAGAGAAAGTAACTGTATATCTATCATAACTATTTTGTATATACAAATACAAAACGGTCTTTCATTTGTATCCCTTTTTTTGGTTTAGTTTTGTCAGAGATGGGTATTTCCTCATCATTTAAATATTGTAGGTGTGTGAATTCAGCAAAACAATCCAATATAGTCCAGTAGTCCATAATAGTAATGGGTTATCTGTAGGACTGGCAGTGTCAGAAGTTGTTGACTTGAGCCTTTTACAGCTCAGCATATTAATATGCTTTACTTTTTATACTTCATGTTTATACTTTTCTGGTGGATGGTTAAGACCAAGATAAAGCAAGACCTATAGAACAAGAAATGTAACTTTTGTATCTGATAAGGTCAGTCAAATCCCTTCAGATTTACCTGGAATCCCTGTACCACACTTTGTAGATCCTTTGTCAGTGTCAGCCATGTGGATGAGTCACGGCCATTGCTGGACCAAGTTGCTTTTTCCTGATGGTGTCTTCTCTTCTTCTCTCCCTAGTCTGCGAGTGCAATGGGAAGTCCCAACAATGCATCTTTGACCAGGAGCTTCACTGGCGGACAGGCAATGGGTTCCGATGCCTCAACTGCAAGGACAACACTGATGGCCCACGCTGCGAGAGGTGCAGGGAGGGCTTTTACCGGCGGCGCCAGGACAGGGATGTCTGCCTGCCCTGCAACTGTCACTCCAAAGGTAGCTGACAGGGGCCAGGGAAAAAAAAGAGCAAGAGGGAAGGAGAGGTGGGTGGAGAGGAGGAAAAGGAGGAAGAGAAAAGAGAAGGGTGGGGAGCAGGCAGGCAGGAGGGAGATGGGTAGTTTCAGGAACAACTGAGAACTCCCCCCCACTGGCTTTGGTAACCATTTCACTCTGAGAGAATGCGCTTCTCTGACTTTGGGTTGGTGGAAGCAGCTGGGGTCATTGTGTCTTAGCTCCCTGCAGGGTCCTGTGATTAATTTTCCCAAGGTAGATGACAGCCTGTGAGCCCAGGGACAAAGGGCTTGCTCTTTTCCATGGTTATCTCCTCATATCCATAACAGTCTCTTCGACCAACCTCTTGGAAAAATAGGGATTTCAAAGATCTGTCTCTGGTGCTGTACTAGGCGCTGTAAATGTGGAGTGGTACTAATAAAAGAGAGAGCTGAGGAAAAAAGGATTAGAACTTTTCACAGAGTGTGAGCAGAGAAAATTAAATAACCAGTAGGAAGCAGCTGAGGAGTGGCAGGCTCACAGGAGGCTTTTGTGTCCTGCCCGGGGCTCTAGCCACAGAACTATAAGTGTTTAGTCTGAGGATGCAAGTATGTGCAGTCAAGATATCTGAGTAAATATAAGCAGGGAGAGGCAGGTAGCTCCGTAAATGAGCTGAGCTTTTTGACTACCTTCTTTCTCTATCATCTTTCTTGGCATTAGCTACTTTCCCCTTTGCCAGAAAATCCTCAGCAGCATAATGTGATAAACACAAATCCATTTAATGGGCGCAGCCTTGGTGCCCGAAAGGAGCTGAAAGAATCGAAACACGAGCAGATTTTGACACACCTGATGTGAGTTGCTGGTCGAGTGAGGCAGGAACCTCATAGAAAACTGGAGTAACCCAGGGTGATATGGACTTGCATCCCAGCAGTCAGTCCCAAATTCGTTATGTCCCTGTTGCAGCGTATTTTGGGTCAGATTTGCTTAGTCTTGTGGTGTGGAATCTGCATCCAGCATCTTATGGATTCAGCAGTTCTCCCTATCTGTCGAAGAACTTCATGAAGAAAATTAGAAGAAAAGTTAATCCATTGTAATGGATATTTAACTTCTCGGAAAAGCCCAGATCCCCTAGAATGGTAGCTTCACCATGAGTCACTGGAGATGGGTCATCCAGCAGAGTGGCTGGGGAGCGTGTAATTAGAGACTAGATTGGCTCCACTGGAAAGGTTGGCCCCAGGACAAGGTTATAATTCCAGAGGAGACAAGGAATTTGCTGCCTAGCAAAAAACAAGAGGGTAGAGAAGGACTCACCATTTCCTCTTTCCCAGCATACTGCAGTCCGCTGCTCACTTGCTTGGCAATGGGGTGTCGGGGTCTTTCTCTTTCCTTGCAGATGAGCCATCTTAGATTCGGGATATACAGCCTGGCAAGAAGCAATGGAGCCAGTGGCGATTTAGGTCGCATGTGCCAGCTCACACATGCTTGTGTGCCCACCCTTTCTAGGTGCTTAATTAAGCAGCACAAATAACTTGATTATTTTTTTTTCTATTTTACAAATGAGGAGAGGATCATAGAGGGAGAGGAAGCAATCTGTTCCAGGTTACAAAGCTCAGGAGCAGAGCGAGGGTTGGTGGCAAGGTCTGCTGACATCGGAGAACTTCGTGTAGAAGAGAGTGGTGGCCTGGGGCTCGACAACCCGAGTCCACATCTTGTAACCAACACGGGGACTGGGTCACGTGTTCCCTAGCCTTTTCCAGTGTCCTCATCTGAGAAGGGTGGTAAGGACGTTTATATCCCAGTATCTTGTAGAGAGCCAATGAGGTTGGTGAGGCACATGGTAGACAATGATGTAAACTGTTCTCAGGAAGATGAGGGCAAGATCCCTTTCTAGATTACATCCTCGTACGAGGGAAGTCTTTGTAGGAGGCCATACCTTTGGTTTAAAGCTATTTAACATTTTACTTTTAAACACCCACTAGTTGACAGGGAATGCTTTAAAATAGTTTTCAACAGTGGGGAAACACTTATGGCCTCAAATCTCTCAGCAAATAACTGCAAGAACTAAAATTATAATCTGGGTCTTCTGCCCAGAACAGTTTCCTCTTATTACCATTATATGGAAAAGAAAAAAAAAAAAAAAACAAAAAAAAACAAGAATGCTGTCCCTCTGGGCCGAGCATGGTAGTGCTTGCCTGTATTTCCAGCTACTCAGGAGGCTGAAGCAGGATTATTACAAATTATAGGCCAGCCTGAATAACTTAGTGAGAACATGTCTCAAAATAAAAAAATACAAAGAATAGGGCCTATAATTTAGCAGTAACCCTGAGTTCAACTGCTAGTAACACACACACACACACACGCACACACACACACACACAGAATGCTGTCCTCTGCTCTCACAAGCAGTCGAGCAAGTAGCAAGTGTCCATGAAGATGTGGAAATTATTTCCTAAGATCTAAGACTTTATACCATTTCAGGACATTTTCATATACTATAGAGCATTGTGTTCCCCAAGATAGCATTAGGTATTGCCTTAGAGTGTCGAATGACGTTTAGAAACACTGGGCATTTTATTTATTTATCTTTTTCTTTTTCTTTTTTTTTTAAACAAAAGTAAATATTTTATTTTAGTTTTTGAAGAGAGTACAATTAGAATTAAAACAAAAATATACAAGTGATACACAATTTCACTTAAAGTAATATGAATTTCACTGTACTTGTAATGCATAATGCTGTCTTTTTTTTTTTTTTTTACAGTTTCAACAAATAATACACTGCATATATTCTTCTTAGTGGTTAATTGCTGTACAAGATGCGGACTTGTGATCCCC